CGGAGCTTTGAAACAAGCATCTCAAAGAGGCTCACAGAGCTAAAGGCCAACATGGAAAGGATGGGAAGACAATGTAGGAACAAACTGAGACTACAAATGAAGAGATAGAAATCCCTAAGAAAGGGAAAGAAAGGCAGCATCGCTGGCGTATCGGGGCACGACTGCCCGCCGCGTCCACGCCAGAGGAGGGCGGATACCCAGGCACCCGGGCCTCTGGCCCACCCGCCCAGGCTCTTCCCGAAGGAGAGCATGCTGTTCCTTCTACCTTGGTGCTGGCCACGCCGATCTCCGGCCCCGCGTTGATATGGACACCGCAGTCGGTCTCCCGGGAGATGGAGCTGCCCACGGTGTTGGTGACGCCCACGGTCAGGGCGCGGCGGTCCTTGCAGTATCGCAGGGCCAAGAGCGTGTCCGCAGTCTCACCTGCCGCACGGGGCCCGCTCAGCGCGCTGCCAGCCCAAACCCTCCCCCGCCCCTCTCCCCGGCTCCTGTCTCAGTGCCCGAGACACAGGCAGGGTGGGGGGTGTTCGGAAAGTAAATGCACACTCAACGATTGTTTCGTTGACTGTTAGATTGAAGGTGTTGTTGTTATTTATATAACAAGCCACTTTCTCATCCACTATGTCATTTAAATCTCATGACAACCCTGTGGGGGCCACTATCCCCACTTTCCTTTGGAGGATCAGGGGCTCAGAGACGGGAGAAAATCAGCACACGCGCAGCAGGTGGGCCTGGCTCCCAAGGCCCCTTCCCCACTCTGAGCTGCCTTATTCAGCACGTGCCGAGATGTAACAGATTTAACATTTAAAAAGCAGGAATGCCCCCAAATGGTGTTTCTCGAATAGATCTTGTTTGAAAGGAAGCACTTCTTGCAGCCTCCCAGTGTGGACTCAAATTGTTTCTAGAATGAAGCTAAAGAGGTTCATGCATAAACTCCCTACGTCTGTATGCTGTAAAGAACTCAAACCAAATTAAGTATGAGCCAGACCATAAAATCAAGGTTTGAATTCACACGCGCTGCTCGAGGCTGCTCTGTCTGCAAGGGCTGCGTCCGGCTGCGCCGTCCTGGCGTTTCTGCAGGGCGGGCTGGCACTGCCGTGTGCCGCTGCACGGCCCGATTCTCTCTCCTGTTTCTCTTCAGGTTGCTTAGCTCATGGCGCTGGAGTGTGCGCGGCGCCTCCTCAGCGCCAGCCGTGGGGGCCGGGGGATGAGGGGAAGGGGGCGCTGTCTTCAGCAGCCTCCCCGCCAGGTTTTGACAGGTTTTTCCCAATCTCCTGACGGGGCTGAACCCTGCTGTACCCACAGAGGCGCGGGAGCTGCCGCTGCACACGAGATGCACCCCTGTGCTTTCGGTAATGGCTTCCACCATTCGAAAGATGTTTTTAAGCTCTGATGGGATCAAAAACCTAAAGGCAAATGCGGCAGCTCCTGGGTAACGAGGCGGTCAGCCAGATGACGGGTATATCTGTGTTAGTTTTCTTAGCTTGTCATCAGAATGGAAATGGCATTAAGAATTCAACGTGGAAGCAGTATTAAAAGCCCCAACAGATACTAGAGCATTACTGTCAATTTTTTAGTTGTGGTAATGACACTGTGGTTGTGTTTTCCCCTTTTATCATTTTAATCATACATCTTGACACATTTGCGGATGAAATAATATGATGTCTAGGTCTGGGACTGGCTTCAAAATAACCCGGCACAGGGAAAGGGTTAGTGCGGGTGTGGACAGCAATTATCGGCTATGTTGATAACTGCTGAGGCCGGGCGATTCCTTACACGAATATCTCCACTTTTATATAGGGTTGGAATTCTGCATAATTAAAACATTTCGAAAATCCTTCTGGAGCTCGAGGGGACTGCAAGTGTATGGCCGCGATCATGTCCCTGGAGCAAGTGTCCAAGCCCAGCACCAGGACGGCGCCCGGGGGTCTGCCCATCTCAGGGACAGTCCGGCCCTAAACCCGAGCAGCGTCCCCCGCGCTCCCCCTGCTGGGTGGCACGGGCACCGCACACGGAGGCCACACCGCGTCCCGACGTGACTCCCAGCCTAGCAGAATTTTGAAGGAGATTTTTTTCTCCAGGAAGTTAAATCCAGCAAACATTTACAAGCGTCTTGCTGAGTAGTCACTGAAGTCTTGAACTTGGACTGGCAGGAGGAGGGAGAGGCCATGGGGCAGGGGAAAACCAACGGACCCGGATTCCCGGCCCAACTCCAGCACGGCCTTGGACGTACCTTGCCCTTCCCCAACAACAGTGACAGTGATTGATGGCTCCAGGAGGTAGGTGACCCAACGCACGAGAGCGCGTGGGGCACAAGGCAGGCGCACAGGGGACGCAACTCGATGAAGGAGGGAGGGAGCTATCTGGTGTGTCGCAGAGAGGAGACAGCCCAGAGCTGACCTAATGCTCACCTGGCCACGCTGCCCTACCCCTTACCTGATTGGCTTATGAAAAAGCAAACGTCATCCCTGAACACCGGTGTGTTCCTGTCCAGAAAATCACTAGCAAGTTCGACCATCACAGGGAGCTCGGTCAGTTCCTCCAACACTTGCCGAGTCTGAAGCCAACGAGAACGGGGACTGAAGTCAGTCACAGGCTCTACGGGGACACGGGGCCGCTGGGCTTCCAGGCACAGGCTGTGACCTGGCGCCTCACCAGTGCCGTCGTGGTGGCGAGGGGACTGCAGTCGCGTGCACCTTGCAGAAGAAAGGGCCCCGCGCCGCTTCTCACGCTGGCGCACGCAGGGGGTGCGAGGCTTCGCAAATTCGGAAGGCCAAATGCGCGACAAAACGCGAGGCCCGCGCGTCATCCCAGAGGGCCGACTTCCCCGCACTACCAGGGGCCAGTCCGTTGCACTTACGGCCACGGCGGCGTGGTAGCTGGTCCCACAGCCGATCACGATGAGCCGCCGGCATCTTCGAATCTCCTTCAGGTGGTCCTTCAAGCCGCCCAGGAGCACTGCGGGCACACGGCAAGGCGTCAGCGCGACCGCACGGCGCAGGCAGGGGCGCCCGGCTGAGTGCAGGAGTTACCTGTGTTGCTCTCAAAGTTCACCCGCCCTCTCATGGTATTGAAGACCGACTCCGGCTGTTCGAAGATCTCCTTCTGCATAAAGGCACTGAAGTTGCCTGTCAAATAAACATCGACAAGACTGGTCGGTTACATTTCCGCTGCCTAACTTTTAATCGGGAGGAAAAGTGGTTAGGGGACACTGACAGTGACACCTATAAAGCCCACTGCAGGGACTGTCCTGTCGGAATGAGGACTATCTCTGCTTTACGTATCAGATCCTGAAGCTTGAGGAAGGGAGGGTTTGCTCGGGGCGCATAAGTAAACAAACAGCGTGGCTGGTCCTGCTGGGCCAGGCTCCCCTTAGCAAGGCCAGAAGAAAGTAAAATGCTTTACTTCCAAAGAGCCACCCACTCAGGCAAGTACAAATTAAGCAAGCCCAAAGAAACCGACAATTTTCTTTTTAATAAATAACCTCCTAGCTTCTGTAATAAAAACCAAAACCAAAATCTTCCTAGCCACACACGCACTTCCGGGCTCTGATCTGAATGGGATTGGACGGCATCAGAGGGATGATCCGGCTACGGGATGTTCAAGCCCCTGCCGGAGGTGTTGCATCTGATGCTTTGGCGGCGTCCACAGACTGGGTGGGCAGGGCTCTCTAGGACACGGCACTCGTGAGGCCAAACGTTACCGGTGTCCCCTGCCTGCTGCCTACGACATAGCACTTGTACAAAGAGCAAATAAAGCAAGCGAGGAGGGTGGGGCAGGGAGGAGCCGTGGCAGACAGGATTAGAGGACTCCGAGGGCGTGATGTTCCAGGCGTGATGTTCCAGGCGAGCCTGAGACGGCCGACAGGAGCCAGGCCTACGAGAAGAACAACGGATGCAAGGACCGCAGCAGGCGAGGGGCGGAGGCAGCCAGGCCAGGGCTGGCGGGGCAGAGCACAAAGGGTCAAGTGCGGTGGGGCCAGGCTTTGGCTGGGTGGGGTGGGGTGTTGTGGGCAGTGGCAGAGGGTTTGGATTTTATTCTAAGAACGGTGGGGCACCATCAGAAGGCTTCAAGCCGCGGGAGCATCACAGGGTCTGAGTCGTGTTCTGATCAGTCTGCTCAGGCTGCCCCGTGGGGTCGTGGTTGTAGGGGGTGGAAGTGGGTGCAGAGACAGGCTCGCCTTGTGGGGACAGAGTACACACAGCCCAGAGCAGAAATGACGCCCGGGGCTGGGAGTGTGTCCCAGGGAGTCCGCACAGGAAGGCGGCTGATGCGCTGGGGTCAGCGCAGGCAGACAGGAGCCCCCTTGGAGACACGGGGCCAGGCTCCCTGCATCCTCTCAGCTGTGTGAGCCTCAGGCCACCATGAAGGGCAGGAGGGCTGTGGCCCCACTGGGGGAGGGCAGCGGTCGGGAGCTCCACCGCGGGCACCGCCCCAAGGCTGCCGCACCGCCTCTCGCAGGGCACCTGCCTTTCATGATCTGCTGCAACTCCATCTGCAAGGTCTGGATGGCTCTCGACGGGTCGTCACTGGCCGAGCGCTGGATCCGGTGGATGGAGAGTTTCCCATCAGCCACTGCGGCAATGTCGTCGTCCTCCAGGAAGATGACCCGGTTGGTGTGCTCTATGATAGCGCTGGAGCAGGGAAACAGGCATCGTCACCGTGGCGCCCTGCCCTCAGCAGTCCCCAGGCAGCAGTCGCTAGCTGTTTCCCGAGCGCGGGGTCCACATCGGTGGCATTTTAGGGGGACAGAGACACACTGCCCTAAAACCACCAATTCCCAGGTGAATCATCCCCCTTCTTCACCCTCCTCCCAGGATGATTCTGAAGCCAGTCCCCAACGTTACATTGTTTCTTCTCTGAGCACTTTCGCCTGTATCTCTGAAA